CCCACGGGCTCAGGCAATCCACTCACCTCAGCCTCCCAAAGGTGCGGGATTACAGGCTGAGCCACCAAGCCCGGCTAAACTTACTTTTTTAATGTATGCACATTGATTGCTAAGGTTATCTTTCTAAAAATGTACTTAAATTCCTACAGAAAATTATAAGCTTTCTTTTAGTTCCAATAGTCTAAATGTTTGTAATCAATCTCATACATCCTAGTTTAACTTTGTTAAACATTAATGCATTAATGTCCCCTTAATGCAGCTAAACTTATTTTTCACTTTCTTGAAATCTGCAAGTTATATAATCTAAAGACGCTGAGCACCAAAATACCTACCAAATAGCAGGCTTCCTTTTATTTGCTTTAAACTTAATTCAGCTCAAATTTCAAAGGAAGGGTCCTGACACAGAGTTCAAACCCACTTTATAATACAAATCATAAAGTAGAAACCAAATAACTTCTCAGATTTCATTTTTCTAAATCATTGTCATTTCTGACCTGTGATTTATTTTACCTCTGTATTCCTAACCTATAGCCATTATCAATATATAAACACATTATATTATTATTATCAGCTATTTTAATTCCAGTTATGCTATATATATATATTTCCTGAATAATGGCCCATTATCAATATATAAACACATTATATTATTATTATTAGCTATTTTAATTCCAGTTATGCTATATATATATATTTCCTGAATAATGGGACATAATGTCTCCCTAATGATGTTAATAAAACAAGTCCAAAGTAAAATAGGTTGCCTTTTTCTTCCCTCAGAAAAATATCACTTCCTTTTTTCTGGCACACTCTAATTTCCAATATTATAGCATATTCACTAAGAAGAAAAGTATTTAAACTATGCTTACAAATAAAAAATTAACTCACACTGATATGTCCATGACAAGAAATCACATAAATCTTTGATCTTTATTACAGAATAAAAAATTTTACAACCCAGGCTCGGTGGCTCAGCCTGTAATCCCGCGCCTTTGGGAGGCTGAGGTGAGTGGATTGCCTGAGCCCACGGGTTCAAGACCCGCCTGGGTAACTTGGCGAGACCTCATCTCTACAGTAAATCAAAAATTAGCCGGGCGTGGTAGCGCACACCTGTAGTTCCAGTTACTTGGAAGGCTGAGGCGGAAGGATCGCCGGAGCCCAGCAGGTAGAGGCTGCGGTGGCCGGGAGCGGCCACTGCACTCCAGTCTGGGCGATAGAGTGAGACTCCAACTCAAAAAAAAAAAAACTTTACAAGAAATATAAGACAAGGTGGGGGACATTTGGGGAAGAATGAAAGAACTTAAACCTTGTCTCTAAAATCAAATCACATCTACAAGCTGGATTGGAAAAACAAAAACACACATAGCATGATTTTATCTTCTTCTCTCTCAAACCAAACTCCAGGCATTCCTTTGCCTCAAAACTCTTAGAGTGTTGCTTTGATTTTCCAGGAAAAGTAATTCTAGAAGAAGAATTATGGTTCTGGACAATGTTTGCTACTAAACAGAGTCTTATGAGTTATTAAAGGTTAACATAAAAGGTGTAGGTCTCTTCCTTTTACGTGGCAAGTACTGTAAGCATTAAAAACAAAGTCCATACCATACAGGAAAAGGTCAGACTGTCCCTAATTTCCTCCATTCTTCCTCCGACTCTTTAAGTAGGCATGAAGACTTAAGCACTATCATGTGAGCATTATCCTGTTGCCTTGCAACACTCCTAGAAGTGTTTGGATAAATTTCAAAAAATAGATCTATGACTGCGGTTTGAATGTTTGCAACAGAGAAATAAAAAAGTGTTGGTAGAAGAAAAGGTGAAATGGCTATCTGAAACTATTTAGAAATCAAGCACCTAAATGGTTCAGAATAGTTCAACAGACTTTTCTACTTAGGGTCTCAGGCTCATAGCTTTAGCTAACAATAAAATATAAAGATTCCAGCAAAGGTAAACAGATGGACAATAAAAAATATTGTTATAATGTTGATTTATAACCTTACTCTTTATTTTTTATAGAATTCAAAAGACAAATACATAAAAAATAACTTTAATTCTACAGCAATGGTTACAGAATTTATAAAAAAAAATTTGTGACATGATAATGTATACTGGAGAGGGTGGAAGAGGAAACAAAGTAGAAATGTTGCATATAATTGAAGCTAAGTTGGCATAAATTTAAAATAAATTTTTATAACCTGGGCAATACAGCAAGACCCATCTCTATGAAAAAATTTAAAACCTAGCCAGGTGTGATGGTGTGTACCTGTAATCTCCGCTACTTGAGAGGTTGAGGTGGGAAGATTGCTTAAGCCCAGGGGTTCAAGGTTATAGTGAGCTATGTTCGTGCCAGCACACTACAGCCTAGGTAACAGAGCAAGACCCTGTCTCTAAAAAAATAAATAAATATAAAATTTTAAAAAATAGGTAGATAGTTATGATGTTAGTATATTATTTGTAACCTCCAATGGTAACCACAAGAAAAATATCTATATATTACACAAAACTGGAAATAAGAAGGGAATCCCAGCCTGTAATCCCAGCATTTTGGGAGGCCGAGGCAAGCGGATTGCCTGAGCCCGTGGGTTCCAGACCAGCCCAGGCAACTTGGTGAGACCACATCTCCACAATAAATAAAAAATTAGCCAGGCATGGTAGCACGCGCCTGTAGTTCCAGTTACTTGGAAGGTTGAGGCGGAAGGATTGCCTGAGCCCAGCAGGTCGAGGCTGTGGTGGCCATGAGTGCCAATGCACTCCAACCTGGGCAACAGTGAGACTCTGACTCAAAAAAAAAAAAAATCAACTAAACCCAAAAGGCAGGCATTAAAAGAGAAAATGAGATCAAAAAATGCTCTATGACATAAAGAAAACAAATAATGATGTGACAAAAGTCCTCCCCATCAGTATTTATGTATTAAATGTAAATGGTTTAAACCTCCCATTCATTAAAAGACAACCTGAGAAGATGTATCAAAAAACAGGATCCAACTATATACTGTCTACAAGAGATTGCATGAGATCCTAGAAAACACAGTTAAAAGTGAAAATAATGAAAAGGGGTATTCTATGCAAATAACCACCAAACGAGAGCAGTGACAGCAGTTATAACAAAAACAGCCAAAACAGACTATAAGTCAAAAACTGTTATAAGAAGCAAAGGACATTATATAATAACAATGATATTGATAATGATGATGATGATGATGATGTCACTTCACCAAAAAGAAAGAACATTTATAAACATATATGCACCAAACCTCAGACCTCAAAAATATATGAAACAAATATTGACAGAATTAAAGGGGAAAAAGTAGCTCCATGAAAACAGCAGGAGTCTTCAATACATCACTGTCAATAATGAACAGAATATCAGTAAGGAAATAGAGGACTAGAACAATACAATCAACCAACTGGACCAAACTAACACAGGACACACCATTCAGCAACAGCAGAATATACATTTTTCTCATATTCATATAGAAAATTTTCCAAAATAAATGATATGTTAGGTCACAAAACAAGTGTCAAAATAACTTACAAGCTTGAAATCACAGAAAATATCTTTTTAATAACAATGGAATGAGTCTAGAAAGCAAGAGTAGATGGAAAAGTGAAAAATTCACAAACACATGGAAATTTAAAACACTATTAAACAAGCAATGGATCAATGAAATCATAATGGAAAGGAGAAAATACCTTAAGACAAATGAAAATGAAAATATGATAAAACAACATTTACAGGATGCAACAAAAGTCTGCCAAGAGAGAATTTTATAGCTGTGAGTACATTAAAAAGATAGATCTCAAATCAATAGCCTAACTTTATACCTTAAGAAACTAGAAAAAGGACAGCAAACTAAACCGAAATCTAGCAGAAATAAGGAAATAATAAAGATGAGAGCAAAGATAAATAAAGCATAGAAGAACAATGGAGAAAAATTCCCAAAACTCAGTTGATTCTTCAAAAGGATAAACAAAACTGACAAACCTTTAGCTAGATTGAGAAAAGATTCCGTTAAAATCAGAAATGAAAATACTGACATTACTCATTTTATAGAATATAAATGATTATTAGAGTATTATGAATAGTTTTATACCAACAAACTGGATAATCCAAATGAAAAAAATTCCTGGAAACACAAACCTACCAACACTGAATTGTGAAGGAACAGAAAATCTGGATAGACTTAAACCATTACAGAGATTGAGTCAGTAATCAAAAACTCCCCAACAAAGAAAAGTCCATGATCCAATAGCTTCAACAGCAAATTCTACCAAATAATTAAAAATTCAAGAGGTAGGAATACTTCCTGACTCATTCTATGAAGAAGCATTACACTGATACCAAAGCCAAACAAAAATACCAGAAGAAAAGAAAACTACAGTCCAATATCCCTGAAAAATATCGGTGTGAATATCCTCAACAAAATCACTAGCAAACCAAATTCAACAGCATATTAAATGGCTTATATACCATTTATTCTTGGAATTTATTAATTCCTAGAATGAAAGGATTTATTCCTAGAATGGGGTTATTCCTGGAATGGAAAGACAATGCAATATATGGAAATCAATCAATGTAATATATACCATTAACAGAATGAAGAAAAAAAAAAACCATGATTCTCTCAAATGATGCAAAGCATTTTTAAAAATTCAACACATTTTCTTAATAAAAACACTCCACTAAGTAGTAATAAAAGAAAATTACTTCAATATAACAAAGATCATCCATTAAAAAAACAAAGCAAAAAACCTCAGCTAATATACTCAATAGTGAAACACTGAAAACTTTTCATCTGTCCTCAGGATCAAGACAAAGATGCTCACTTATACCACTTCTACTAAACACAGAATTAAAATTCTAGCCAGACGATTTAGGCAAGAAAGAGAAACAAAAGGCACCCAAATCAGAATTGAGAAAGCAAAATTACCTCTGTACGCAGATGACATGATCTTATATATAAAAAAAATTCTAAAACTGTTAGAACAAACAAATTCACAAAGCTACCAGATATAAATATCAGTTAAGTTCCCATACACTAACAAAACGCAATCTGAAGAGGAAATTAAGAAAATTCTTCAATTTACAAGACCATCAAAAAGAACAGAATTAATCAAAAAGGCAAAAGACTTGTACAGTGAAAACTAGAAAATACTGCTAAAATCAAAGAAGACACAAATAAATGGAAAGACATCTCATGTTCATGGACTGGAATAGTCAATATTATTAGGATGTCAATACTATTCAAAGTAGCCTACAGTCAATACAATCCATATCAAAATTCTAACAACCTTTTTTTGCTAAACTAGAAAAATCCATCCTAAGATTTATATGGAATAGCAAAGGATTCCAAAATGCAAAAACAAAAAACCAAGTTAAATGGTTCACATTTCCTGATTTCAAAACTTACTACAAAGCTCCAGTAATCTAAACAGTGTGGTACTGGAATAAAGAAAGGCATAGAAACAAATGAAATAGAGCAAAAAACCCAGACATAAACTCTTGTATATACGAACAAATGATTTTTGACTATGGTACCAAGGACATTCAATGGGAAAAGGACAGTCTTTTCAACAAATGATATTGGAAAAATGAGATATCTGCATGCAAAAAAATAAAGTTGGATCCTAATCTTATGCTACACACACACACACACACACACCCCCAACCAACTCAAATAGAGCAAAGAACTAAACATAAGAGCTAAAACTATAAAACTCTTTAGGTAAACACAGGAAAAAAGTTTCATGACATTGGATTTAGTAATAATTTTTTTGGATATGACACCAAAAGCATGGCAACTAAGATAAGCTGAACTTAAAGTTAAGACTTTTAAGCATCAAAGAACATTATTAACAGAGTAATAAGGAAATTCACAAAGTGAGGGAGAATATTTCCAAACCATGTACCTGATATAAAGGGTTAATATCCAAAATATATAAAGAACTCTCATAACCCAATAAGAAAAAAAAACTAGATTAAAAGATAAGCAGATTTTGAACGCACATTTCTCCAAAGAAATATACACATGTCAATAAGCACATGAACAGATGTTCAACATCACTAAGCATTAGAAAAATGTAAATCAAAACTCAGTGAGATACTACTTCATACCTATTAGAATGACTATTAAAATAAAAAACAGGAAGTACCAAATGTTGGAAAGGAGGTAGAGAAACTGGAAGCCTTGTTCTGACAGGAATATAAAACGGTACAGCTGCTATGAAAAACAGGCCAGTACTGCTCAAAAACTTAAACAATGGATTACAACATGATCCAGCAATTCTACCTCTGAGTGTGTACCCAAAAATACTCAAAGTAGAGATTTGAACAGATATTTGTACACAAAAACATTATTATAACAGCCAAATGATATAAACAATACAAATGTCCAATGATGGATAAATGGATAAATAAAAAATAATATATACATAGAAGGGATTTTTTTTTTTTTGAGTTGGAGTCTTACTCGGTCACCCAGGCTGCAGTGCGCTGGCACACTCACGGCCACCCCGGTGTTGACCTGCTGGGCTCCAGAGATTCTTCTGCCTCTGTCTTCCTAGTAGCCAGAACTACAGGTGCACGCTACCATGCCTGGCTAGTTTTTTAAAATTTACTGTAGAGACAAGGCCTCGCCAAGTTGCCTGGGTTGGTCTCGAACAGGCTGAGCCACCAACCCAGGCCCATACAAGTGTATTAATCAGCCTTAAAAATAAAATTCTTACATATGTTAAAACATGGATGAACCTTGAAGACATTATGCTAAGTGAAGTAACCCAGACACAAAGGACAGATATGAGGTACCTGAAATAGTCAAATTCATAGAGATAAAAGATGTAATGCCAGGAGCTAAGGGCAAGTCATAATAGGGTGCTATTATTTAATGAGTATGGAGTTCTCATTTGGAAGATGAGAGTTCTGGAGATGGACAGTGGAGATGGTTGCAAAATACTGTGAATGTACTTAATGACACTGAACTATACACTTAAACATCGTTTAAAATGTAAATTTTATGTTATGTATATTTTACCACACACACAAAGAGCCAATTAAACATGATATTTCCTTAGTTACAGAATTACTGAGAAAATCCATAATGACATGAAAAAGACAATACATACTTGGGCATCCTTAAATCCATGAAAACCATGGCCTTAGAAAGTTCCAAATTCAAGTGCATGGGTACCAAAATATGCTGTGTGGATACATTGAGTTTTCGCGCTTCCTTCCAATTATCACCTAATTACAGAACATAGTTCATGTTTAACATAAGTATAATTTAAGTAACACACAAAACCTAAAATTATTATTAATACTGCATAGCCACACACTGTACGGGTACAGGGAAATCTTCCCATACCTAGATAATCTTAATGTCACATTCCCAGGTACACACAATCAGCAGGTTACTGTTTATCCACTGGCAATCATGATACCAACCACATACCTTACCCCAAAAATGCAACATGACAGTAGGGCAATAATGGAAAAGGTAGAAAAATGTGAAGTTCTTAAAGTATAACGAATAAAAGCTAACATTTAGTCAAGATTTATAACTTGTACTGATCTAGACAATGTTTAAGCTTTAATTTGCAAAATGACGTATATAATCCCATTTTAGAAAACTGAAAAAAAAATTTATCTGTGGTCATTATGCTAATAATGATAAAGCTGAAATTCACATAAGAGTCTATTAACATGTGACCCTTGGGAAACATTCACTGCAAAGTTACCAGTCCAAATGTTCACTGAGGAATGGTTAAATAACTGACAGCATAGTCTTGGATAAGGCTTAAGGCATAATGTAGACAATAAAAATCATGACTTCAAGTGACCAAACTATTATAAAAAAATCTGAATATAAAACTCTATAAATTGGCCAGGCACAGTAGCTAACGCCTATAATCTCAGCACTTTGAGAGGCCAAGGTGGGAGAGTGGCTTGACCCCAGGACAACCTGGGCAACACAACGAGACCTTTTCTTAAAAAAAAAAAAAAAAATTAGCCAGGTGTGGTAGCATGTGCCTGTAGTCTCAGCTATTCATGAGGCCGAGGCAGGAGAAATTACTGAGCCCAGGAGGTCAAAGTTACAGTGAACCATGATCGCACCACTGTACCCTAGCCTGGACGACAGAGTATGACCTGTCTTAAAAAAAAAAGAAGACAAAGAAAGAAAGTTATATAATGTTTAAGAAATGCATTTGCAAATATCTCTATACATAACATCACACAAGCACATCCCATAGACTCACAGGCACACATACTGAAAGAAACACTAAAAGGATAAGCATCAAAATACCAAGTGTTCATGTCTGAGTAGTAAAATAAAGGATGGTGTTTTTTGGGTTTTTTGACTTGCCCAGATTTTTTAACATTTAGAATCAGAAAGAAATAACTTAAAAACTTTATAACAAGATTAATGGGATATGAATAACATGATGCATTTTCACACATATTAAATTACTTCATTTGAACTTAATAATTCTACAAGTCAATAAAGTCTCAGTCAAGGAAAACCAAACCTAGTAATATATTTCCTGAAAAAGAATTTACGAACTTCTGGAGACTATTTTTGCCACCCACTATACTTCTGGGCTTCGTCCATATAGCAACTAGAGCATGATAAGAACAAAACTATGCTCATTATCCTAAAGCAAATACAATTTTCAAAATTAAATTAAAATGTTTCAGTCCTATATAAACTAACAATTTTTTTTTTTTTTGAATTGGAGTCTCACTCTGTCACCCAGACTGGAGTGCAGTGGCTGTTCCCGGCCACTGCAGCCTCGACCTGCTGGGCTCCGGCGATCCTTCTGCCTCAGCCTTCCAAGTAGCCGGAATTACAGGCATGTGTTACCACGCCCGGCTGATTTTTTGATTTATTGTAGAGATGAGGTCTCGCTGCCCAGGCGGGTCTCTAACCTGTGGGCTCAAGCAATCCACTCACCTCAGCCTCGCAAAGGCGCGGGATTACAGGCTGAGCCATCGAGCCCAGCTAAACTAACAATTTTTAATGATTACTTTGGGCTTTTGGAGGAGTGTCAGAATTTGTTTTTTTTATTATTATTTTCTATTTTGATTCAGGGGGTATAATGTAGGTTTGTTATATAGGAATACTGTGTGATGGTGAGGCTAAGTCTTCTGTTGAGCCCATCACCCAGTGGGTACCCAGTGGGTAGTTGTCAGCCCTTACCTCCCTCTGTCCCTCCCAACTTTAGAAGCGTCCCAGTATCTGTTGTTACTATCTCTGTGCCATGCAGTGGTTAGTCCCTGCAGTATTTAGTTTCTGTGATAATTCACTCAGGAATATGGTCTCTAGTTATATCCATGTTGCTGCAAAGCATGTGACTTTGTTCTTTTATACAGTTGTGTAGTATTCCATCATGTATTTGTACCACATTTTCCTTATCCATTTCATCAGTGATAGGTACCTAAGTTGGTTCCATGTTTTTGCTATCGTAGATAGTATGTGATAAACATGTGCATGCAGGTGTCTTTTGGTAGAGTGATGTGTGTTCCTTTGGGTATACACCCGTAGAAAGATTGCTGGATAGAGCAGTAAGTATCCTTTTAGTTCTTTAAGAAATCTCCAAACTACTTTCCACAGAAGTTAAACTAGCTCGCATTTCCACCAAAAGTACAGGAGTATTCCCTCTTCTCTGCATTATCGCCAGCATCTGTTGTTTTTGACTTTTTAATAAAAGCTATTTTGACCAGTGTGGTTTTGACTGCACTTCTCTGATGATTAGTGATGTCAAACACTTTTTCATGTTTGTTGGTTGCTTGTATGTCTTCAAGAAGTATCTGTTCTTGTTGTTTGCCCACTTTTTCATTAGGTTGTTAGTTTTTCTCCTTTTGATTTGTTTGGGTTGTCTGTAGTTTCTGGATATTACACCTTTCTCGGATGCACAATTTGAAAATATTGTTTTCCCATTCTGTAAGTTGTCTGTTAACTAGGTTGATGGTTTCTTTTGCTCTGTAGAAGCTGTTGAATTTGATTAGGTCCCACTTGTCAATTTTTTCTTTTGCTGCTTTTGCTTTTGAGGTCTTGGTCATGATTTTATTGCCCAAGACAATATTCAGAAGAGTGTTTTCTGTGCTTTTTTTAATGTCTAGAATTTTAATAGTCTGAGGTCATACATTTAAGTAGTTAATTTTTGTATATGGGGAGAGGAAGGAATCCAGCTTAATTCTTCTGCATATGTTGGGCCCATTTTCCCAGGACCATTTGTTAAAAAAGGTGTCCTCTCCCAAGTTTGTTTTTGTCAGCTTTGTCTAAGATAAGATAGTTGTATGCTAGCAGTTTTATTTCTGGATTTTCAACTCTGTTCCATTGGTCTATGTGCCTATTTTCATACATGCTGTTTCAGTTACTGTTGCCTTGTAGAAAAGTTAGAAAGCTGATAATGTGATGCCTACAGCTTTGTTCTTTTTATTTAGGATTGCTTTGGATATTTAGGCTCTTTTTTTTGTGCCCATATGAATTTAGTATTATTTTTTCTAGATCTGTGAAAAGTGTTACCGGTAATTTCATAGGGATTTTGTTGAATCTGTAGATTGTTTTGAGTATTATGGACATCGTAATGATATTGACTCTTCCAATCCATTAAAATGGAATGTTTTTCCATTTGTTTGTGTCGTCTTTAATTTCTTTCATAATGTTTTGTAGCTCTTTAGTAACAATTATTTTGGACTCATATTGCTTTTCCTTTTGTCTTAGCTGAGATAATTAAAATTTGACCAAATACATATATATAGATCTCTAAAATAACTCCAAACTGTTGAATCTGAATGTCCTCTAACACTCTAGGGATTCAGAAACAGTGTGATAGAATGGAAGGAGAGCTGAATGAGTCTGGGGTTTCGCCCTAACTACTTTAATAGCTCTTGACAAGTGAATTTCTGATGCTGTCTTCAGTTAAAAAACTAGTTCTAGATCAGAAACTCCTGATCAGTGAACTACTGGGAACAGAATAAAGATATACCTAGGATAATCACCCTCCTCACTCTGTGTGGCTGCCTATGGTCTGTGCTATCAAAGCCCTTAGGCCAGTTTCCTCTGGCCTTGAGTAGCCTCTTCTAGTTATCCAACTGTTTAATATAAAAATCATTTTCAATATGTGCCAACTTTGGTCACAGGCTGTAAAATATTAGTATAGAAAAGGATTTCTCAACCTCAGCACTATTTGGGCAAGATAAGTCTTTGATATAGAAGGTTGGCCTGCACACTATAAGATGTTTAGTAGTATATTTGACCTTCGCTCTCAAGATACCAGGAGTGCCTTTCATCCCCTACCTGTGACAACCAAAAATGTTTCCAGACATTGACAAAGGAATGTCTCTTGTGGGGCAAAACTGCTCCTGGTTAAGAATCATTAAACAATATTTACTATCATTTATAATTCAAAAATATAAAAGTTCTAACACATTTATGAGGAAGGTTTCAAACAAAATATCTAAAAACTTAAACATTTCAGTAAAATAATTCAACAAAGAATGCATTTTACACTTACCAACTCTGCTATAAAGCAGCTGTATGCTTCTAAGATGAATATCAAAGGAATCATAAGCTCTATCCATTATTTCTTCAAGATTGGCCTCTCCTTGTTTAACATCTGGTAATTCTGAACGACTTTTACTTGTTACCTTGAAGTTAATTTTAATAGTTTAGACTACACAAAATACTTCAAAGTGTAAGTATAAAGCTTTTAACTTTCAGACATATAATATAAAATATTTAACAGGAAATGATAAACTCACAAGCAAACATTCATTATAAAGCTATTAGAAAGGTCCTTCTTATCCATAAGACGTATAATGAGAAGGCCAAGGATGAAGTAAATTTTTACATATTAGAGCATATTTTCCATTTACTTATATTAAAAGAGAAGAACTAAGGTAGTCCTGGAGAATAATACATCTATAAATTCTTAAAATCTGTTAAGAGGGTTTCTCACTAACAGCTAGATCAAGAGATAAATTTAGCTTATGAAAAATGTTTCTATGGCATGATGACATATAGCTGTATAATAAGAAGTAAAAGATTTTAGAATTAAATATTATGATAGCTGAATTTTAGTCTCAACTCCGCCATTTATGTGAGTTCATGCTAGTTGTATTTGTATCTCTCCTTTCTTGGCATACTATGCATACTACCTTATATCACTTAAATATCCTAGAGATCACTCCACAACTAAATAGAAAGATCGTATTCATGTGTGTGTGTGTGTGTGTGTGTGTGTGTGTGTGTGTGTGTGTGTGTACAGTTCATGCATGTGTAAATAATGTATTTTACCTTGGTTTCCTCTATTTTATATAGCTCATGTGAAGCAGATAGTCAAAGACAATTATCTCTGTTTGAAAGGCAATGAATTTTAGGCAATAGGTTAAGCAAACTGTCTAAAGTCACAAAATTAGAGAGTTACCTTTACTCCTAACATTAGACTCTTTCTACTATTATACCATACTGCCCTTGAAACAATTCAATAGCCACATTCAAATATGAATAATTAGCTGTACCAATTTCATTATAATTGTATGACTAATGGGTGTCTACATAACCAATAAGGGCAAAATAAAAAGCCAGGATAAGGGAGGAAATTAATAACAAGGAAAGACACCTATCTGTCAGATAGCCAGAAAAAACATGCTAATATTACCCATCTCTCTTGGGTTTTAAGTTGTTATAGATATTCCTCTATATTTTAATGGTTTAGAGCAGTGCTCTCCAAAAAAACTTTTACCATGATGACAACATCCTATATCTATGCTGTCAACACAGTAGCAACTAGTCACTTCTGACTATTAAACTCTTAAGTGTGGTTACTGTGATTAAGGAACCGAATTTTAGCCAGGCTCGGTGGCTCAGCCTGTAATCCCGCGCTTTGGGAGGCTGAGGTGAGTGGATTGCCTGAGCCCGAAGGTTCAAGACCTGCCTCGGCAACTTGGCGAGACCTCATCTCTACAATAAATCAAAAAAATCAGCTGGGCGTGACAGCGCATGCCTGTAATTCCAGCTACACGGAAGGCTGAGGCGGAAGGATTGCCGGAGCCCAGCAAGTCAAGGCTGCAGTGGCCGAAAGCCGTCACTGCACTCCAGTCTGAGCAACAGAGTGAGACTCCAACTCAAAAAAAAAGGGACCGAATTTTTAATTTAATTTAATTTAATTTCATTCTAAAAATCACATGTAGACAATCAGTACTAAAGTGGATAGTACAGATCTGAAATACAGAAAAAAAATTATTCTCTACTGAAAATTTGTAAAGAAAAAAGTATATAACTAGAAAAAAAGAGAAATGACTTTGGTAAATAGAGGAAGATCATCTCTCAATTTAGAATTGCTTAACAGAAATAGTTAAATAACAATATCTGGTTACATACACACAAAATTTCATAAAGATGAAGATATATTTGACTGACTCCAGAACTCTTTCCCATTATTTATACTTTAATTAACCAAGTAACAGATTTAAATTAAGAAGAAAATAAACTTCCCAAGCATAACTCTCAAATTCTATATGCATAATTTTTAGATTCAATCCTGAACTGCAGTTGTACCGGTCATTTTGCTTTTAGAAGTGTTGGAAAACTACCTAATAAAATAAGACTTCACTTTATTCACCAGAAAGGAAGATTTCTCAAATCCTAGTTATCTACCATAAATCTTAAAAAAATAAATCAATAAATCAAATCAAACTATCTAAAAAGCAAAATACATAAAGATACCCTAAATGCCATATCACAAATCAAATATTATTAGTATATACCTTTAGATGACCAAGATCCAAAAGAAGCAGATTTGATGTAGGGCCAAAAATTCCATCTTGTGGGATTATAATATATGAAGCCTTCAAATTAATTTTGAGATCAAGAACTTTCTGTGTTTCAATAATATACAGTAGACCTGTAGAAAATTTAAATCTTCACATTGAATGCTTTCCACAAGTTATTCAAGAAATAGAGAATCACTAAATATATGAATTGATAAAACAATCTCAAAATATGTAAAATTAGTATTAATTTTTAAATGACCTTAGCAAAATATTTCCAGTACAAACTTAGAATATCTATTAGTCAATGTGTATCCTTTTTTTTTTTTGAGTTGGAGTCATCCAGGCTAGAGTGCAAAGGCATGCTCACGGCCGCCACTGTGTCAACCTGCTGGGCTCCAACGATCCTTCTGCCTCAGTCTTCCAAGTAGCCAGAACTACAGACACGCGCTACTGCACCCGGCTAGTTTTTTATCTATTGTAGAGACGAGGTCTTGCCAAGTTGCTTGGGCTGGTCTTGAACCTGGGAACTCAGGCAATCCACTCGCCTTGGCCTCCCAAAGTACTGGGATTAGAGGCAGAGCCACAGAGCCCAGCCCAATGTGTATACTCTTAATTAAACAGAACTGAGTATAAAATTGGAATAATTCCTCAAAAAAGTTGTTTTTACCTATAAACTCAATTTGGGGGAAAATGGGGAAAAAGACACCTATCTAAAAAAAATTAAATAGAATGAAACATTTATTGATAACAACTATGTGAATCTACATAGATTCTTCCCATTTCATAAACTTTATACAGTTATATGTACCATACTGAACAATTATACTTGATATTAATGCTAATACTTTGAGAATATAGAAAATCCTGAATTATTCAATCATGGTCAATACAATCATAAGTAAACTAAAAACAGTCAAAAATCAGGTTTCCTCATTCTTTAGGTATTTCATTCACTTGTGATTTTTTATTCTAATAAATGTAGTTCCTAGGCCAGATGTGGTGACTCATGCCTGTAATGCCAGCACTTTGGTAGGTCGTGGTTGGAGGACTGCTTGATCCCAGAAATTCAAAACCAGCCTATGCAACATAGTAAGACCTTGTCTCCACAAAAAATAAATAAATAAATTAGCCAGGTATGGTAGAACGTACCTGTAGTCCCAGCTACTTGAGAGGCTGAAGCAGGAAAATTGACTGAGCCCAGGAGGTTGAGGCTGCAGTGAGTTGTAATTGCGCCACTGCACTCCAGTCTGGGCAACAGAGTAAGACCCTGACTCAAAGAATAAAAATAACTTTTAAAAATAAATTTAATTTATTTACTTGCAGGTGATTAGTACATCAAATTAATCCATTTTATGTTCCTAATCCATTTTATGTTCCAGCATCAGCTTTTAAAACTAAACAAATTATTTGCCATGTAATGGGAACTCTTCCATAAAGAAAACAATGCTACAAGCAGCCATCAAATCAGTTTGAGTAAATACAAGACAATTTGATTTATAACGTTCAAGAAGATTTGACACTCAAAAAGAAAGGCATATTACATTTCACAAAGCCAAAAAAAAAACTATATAAGAACTATCACAAGGGTTATATTTTTTCAAATGTGAATTATAAGACACTAAAACTATAAGAATTAAATTTAAATTATAAGAAACTAAAAATGACTAACACCTTACATGTAAAATTCTGAATAAGTAGACTGAAAAAATGTAAATGATGCCATTTATTTAATATGTAATATCCTAATGTTTCAATTAAGAGTATGTGAAGTTTAACTGAACATTTTGTTCAGAATAGGTCTAGGTTAGAAAAGGTCACATGAGAACTGAATAATAAAAAAAGTGACTAAACCAAAAGGCTTTGCCAGTAAAGTCCTATAATTTTGTAAAAGCATTGATCTAGAAAGATCAGTGGTATTTGAACAGTCCATGATATTTTTGTTTGGATCTATCCTGACCCATATTTCATCACTATCTAGTCCCTTCTTCTCCAAAAGCCAAACACCTAAAAGAAATAATTTCATGTTTTGTGGTTCCATATTACTACACTATATTATGAAGGAAAGTAAAAATACTCAAATGTAGGATGATCAGTATATTTTAATATAACCTTTAAAGACTTTATTATTAAAAATACATGTTTTCAAGTCATCAAATTTTAAATGTACTTATAATAAATTAAAATTATAAACATAAAAAATATATACAATGACAGAGAGGAGGGAAGCAAGTGTCAAGTTGTCAATAGGTAATCAGTTTGATATACAAGTAAATGGACAAAGAAGAACTAAATTAAAATAATTAAAACATTGTTTTAAATAGGCATTTATATAAAAATAGAAAACAAGAAGCCTAAAAATCTGTGCTATGGTTTAGATATTTGGTTCCTCCAAATCTCATGTTGAAATCTGATCTCCTATGTTAAAGATAGGGTCTATTGAGAGGTGTTTGTTTCATGGGGGTAGATGCCTCAGTAATAGAGGTGCTGTCCTCAAAGTAATGAGTGAGGTCTTTCTCTACTAGTTCCTATGAAAGCTGGTTTTTTAAAAGAGCCTGGCACCTCCCTCCTCTCTCTTGCTTCTTCTCTCAAACCATGTGATCTCTGTACACTTCAGCTCCCCTTCCCTTTCCACCATGAGAGGAAAGCAGCCTGAAGCCTTCACTAGAAGCAGATGCAGGCACCATGCTTCGTATACAGTCTGCAGAAACTGTTAGACAAATAAACCTCTTTTCTTAATAAATTACCGAGCCTCTAGTATTCCTTTATAGCAACACAAATGGACTAAATCTAGGAGAGCTCTTCCTTGAATCATGAGAATTGATATTAAAAACAAGCTCATCTTTAAAAGATTACAAAGGCCTTGCCCAGGTAACCCAAGTAAGACTCTAGTAGAAAGAAGAAAAAACTCTCAACATCTCTAACATCCTGTTAGAAGTAGATTCAAGTGAAATCTTTTTTTTTTTTTTTTTGAGTTGGAGTCTCATTCCATCACCTAGGCTGGAGAGCAGTGGCATGCTCACAGCCACCCCAGCATCGACCTGCTGTGCTCAGGTGATCCTTCTGTTTCAGCCTTCCAAGTAGCCGGAACTACAGTCGTGTGCTACCACACCTGGCTAATTTTTTTATTTGTTGTAGAGATGAAGTCTCACTAAATTGCCCAGGCTGTTCTCAAACCCATGGGCTCAGGCAATCCCCTCACCTCAGCCTCCCGAAGTGCTGGGATTACAGGCTTGAGCCACCACAGCCTAAGTGAAATCTCTTAAAATGAAGATGGGAGGAGTGGTAAGGTAGAGGGATGAACACAGACGGACATATAATGCAAAATTCCAAAGATCATCCAATAAGCTTGAAACTTAAGAGCAGAACTGATTCAAAACAGGTTTTTTTTGTGTGTGTGTATACATATTCCCAAATTATGTCAATTCACAGATGGCATAGTTTTACTAAAATGTGTTAGCTGGGTGCGTCACAAGAAGGACCCAGAAGGAATAATCTGGCAATCAAGATTCTCCAAAGTCTACCTATTAAGCATATCTCTATCTCGACTCTAAGGATTCCTCAACCAAAATGATCTATTTAATGGAGTCTTAAATCCTGCACAAATCTAAGTCCCGTACTCCCTGGAAGTCATACCTGAAGCCTTGCTTTCAGTGAAGGCTTTCTTGATGCCAGAACACAGTGACCTCTCTAGATTGTTTTTCATGGAAGGGAATATTTTATTTTGAGTTTCACTCTATTGTGTATCTCCTTCACGTCTCATTGCTCTTAGGACAAAATCCTAACTGGATAATATGACTTCCATGGTTTTGCATAATCAAAACTGTGCCTCTTTACCATCACTTAACTGTCTTCCTCGATCGCTATGTAAGAACTAATTCAGCTGTCTGCAACTTCCAAATTCATCAAATGATTTCCTAAGTTAGGCTCTTCATAGTGACCACTGCCTTGAAGGTTCTTCCTTAGACCCTTTAGCAGTACAGATCCTATATATATATCTGGTATTGAAGTCAATTTTTCAAAGAGATCATCTCTGATATCACTACCAAAACTAAACTGGGGCATCTACTATTCTCATTTCCTTCACAGTATTTGGGCCTGCTATAGGTTTGTATCCTCACTCAGCTCCAAATTCCCCCATTTACCTACTCTGTGAAAGTAGAGCTGAGAACTTTAAATGCGTTTACTTTGTCAACTAGCACTAAAGTAGATAAAGAACACAGGAGAGACACTGCAAGAGGAAAGGGTTTTGTTTCCTGGTTCCAGTGTGTTCCCTTGGCAATATCCTACAATAGTGCGGCTTTCTCCAACATGACTCACATTTAGTACAAAAGGGCCAACAGCACCTAACTCTGAGGAGCCAGTACAGCCCTCCTCAGAATCTTCCTCAGGTGGTTTCACAGTGGAATGAGTACAGTGAGACATTGCCCCTATGAACACCATTCCAGCAAGTTTTGCCTGTATGGCACCATTTCTGCCATTCAATGAGTCAAGAGGTTCCTTCTCCAACAAGGTCTGGATTTCAATCCTCAGAGAGAAGAGAGGGACCTCTTCTTAGGAAATGCTATCTCAGTTCTTTTTTTTTTTTTTGCTTCCTGAGACAGGGTCTCACTGTAGCCTCCAACTCCTGGGCTCAAACGAACCTTCTACCTCAGCCTCCTGAGTAGTTAGGACTATAGGTGCTCATCACCATGCCCAGCAAATTCTTTAACTTTTTTTTTATAGAGACAAGGTCTCTTTATGTTGCCCAGACTGGACTTGAACCCCTGACCTCAAAATTCTCCTCTTTTTTCTCCTGAGTTGCTAGGATTTATAGTTATAAACCACAGCACCTGGCCCTCTTATGTCTTTAAAGTTACTTTTTGGAGTAACAGACAATCTCTCATCACAGTTAATAAGTCATTAACATTAATTTAAATTATAAACAGTATTAGTCATATAATTTATTATTTTATAAAAATATAATTTATTATAAGATTATATTACATTTTACCTGTTCAAATTACCATGTGATTTGTCTCTCCTGATTGGTCCATACAGTACTGATCACAATTTTTCAGTAGATTGCTCTTAGTTTTACAACTGTCCTATCCATAAGACTGTAAGATCCATCAACAGGCAAGAACTATGTTCA